CAGCTACAGGTAGATGGACCCTGACAGAAAGGGAGAAAAATGTAGAACAGAACTCAAATTCTTAAAAAGTCCAGACTTATTGGACCAGTTGAGACTAGAGGACTCCCCGAGACTATCGCCCTGAGATACTTTAAACCTTGAATCGAAACTATCCCAAGGTGCCTTTTAGCGAAATAACGACTGGCACACAAAATTAAAGGTTATTATCTGTAAGTACAGTGCTCTATTAAAAAATCAGCTATATTACTCCGAAAGTTCAACAATTACTCTAAAGCAAAGATGACAAGGGGACAAGGAAACTAGAGTACTGAAAACAGAACGAGAATGCGATTAAAGAGAATGTTAACACATTGTGAAAAGTGTAACTAATGTCACTGAATTTGTATAGAAATTGTCAAATGGGAACCTAATTTGCTGTGTAAACTTTCACTAAAAACACAATATTATTTAAAAATTTAAATTAAAAAAAATAATCAAAAGTAAAGCTTTAGTATGATTTTCTTCAGTTTACAGGCATATTATACAGGGGTTTTATAAGTGGGCTTTGAAGCCATATACATAAAGTATGAGTTCTGGCTCTGCTACTTGCATACTAAGTACTCAGTAAAGATCATCTAGTTTTCCAGCATTTAAATAAAGTAAAATAGACTGTCTTGCTGGACTGTCTTGCTTCCAACTCCCTCATGTTTTCTTTCTTCATGCAGTAGAAGCAAACAGGAATTAGCCACTTAGGATGTCTTTAAATAACAGCAATAATAATCACAGCTTTAACTATCACCACCACCACAATAATAATGGCTAACGTTTACTGAGTTCTGTCATGAATTGAATTGTGCCCCCCCAAAATATGTGTATTAATTTGGCTAGGCCATGATTCCCAGTATTGTGTGATTGTCTACCATTTTGTCATCTGATGTAATTTTCCTGTGTGTTGTAAATCATATCTCTATGATGTTAATGAGGTGGGATTAGTGGCAGTTATGTTAATGAGGTAGGACTCAATCTACAAGATTAGACTGTGTCTTAAGCCAATCTCTTTCGAGCAGAGAGACAGGGGGACCTCATACCACCAAGAAAGAAGCACCGGGCGCAGAGTGCATCCTTTTGACCTGAGGTTCTTGCACAGAGAAGCTCCTAGACCAGAGGAAGATTGATGACAAGGATGTTCCTCCAGAGCCAACAAAGAAAGAAAGCCTTCTCCTGGAGCTGGTGCCCTAAATTCAGACTTCTAGACTTCTAGACTGAGAGAATAAACTCTTGTTTGATAAAACCATCCACCTGTGGTATTTCTGTTATAGCAGCACTAAATAACTAGTGCTTACTATGGTAACTTACTAGATGACTAGAAAACAAGTGCTTACTATGTCCAGATGCTATTTTAAACACTTTTGGTGGATTAATTAATTTAATTATGTCAACAACCATATGAAGTAGGTATTATTATCCTTAATTTATAGACAAGGAAACTGAGGCTCAGAGAGGTTAAGTAAACTCACCCAAGGTCACAGACAGTAAGTGGCAGAGCCAGACTTTGAACCTAGGCAAGTCTGGCTTCAGACCCCACTCTTCACTAATTTTCTATACTGCTTTATGCTATACTGCCTCCAGTAGGAAATTCCATGGTCATGTATTTCCTCAAATTAGAAGGAATAATTTTCCACTGCCTCCAAAGCTATGGTTCCCAGGCTTTAGGAGTTAACAAGCTATGGAAATTTAAGAGCCAGTGGGTGGCATAAATGGATAAGTGCTTGACTAATAACCGAAAGGTTGGCAGTTCAAACGCACCTTTGAACTCATCCAGAGGCACCTTGGAAGAAAGGCCTGGCAATCTGCTTCTGAAAGGTCATAGCCTTGAAAACCCTATGGAGCACAGCTCTACTCTGAAACACATGGGGTTGCCATGAGTCGGAATTAACTCGATGGCAACGGAAAAAAAAAAGAAAAATTTGGTAACCAATCTAGATTTGCCACATCTAAGTTTTGCCAGGAAAGGACTTTAAAAAGCAAGCACTACCACCACCATTTTCTATCAGCAGTTCTACTCTGTCACGTAGGGTTGCTATGAGTCGGAATTGACTTGACGACTGTGCCTAACAACAATAACATGTCCTTGCACCTTTGATTTCCGCCAGAGCCTCGTGGCCTAAGTGTTTCAGTAGGGTGTCACATGAGCAGAAATCTATGTGCATATAGGTTTCATGAATTTTTTATTGATAACATTGTGAAATGAGAAGACTCAATGCTTACCATTTACCTTTTGGACTTGACTACAAACATGAATTATGTATACATGGAAAATATATTTAAACCATTTTCTTTTGGTTAACAGACCATTATATCCTCGTTTCTTGTTATAGTTTTAGATAAATTAAATTTGAATAGTTCATGATTATAATCAATTACACTCGGCTTCATTTATAATTCCCAACTGATTAAAGTCTACTAGTGCGACCCCTGGTGGTAATCTGTTACATAATGTTAGTAAGCTGCAAGCGGTTTCTTCCTAGTGACCTTCTGTGTGCTAGCTACTTTGATTAAAAACAGGAGCTCCCTTCTAAATACCTTAGGGTGGCACTCTCTGGTGGATCAAGCAGATTGGATGCCTGGGTGTAAGTACTGTTTTTCTCAAGCCAGGGGTTATTACTGCTTGAGAGCTGTAAGGAAGTTGGAAGGATTAAGGAGACATAACTAATAGACACCAAATAACTTCTTTCTCATACTGGTGGTACTAGCCCAGGGTCCTGCTCTCTCACAGTTCTGTAACCCTCTCTCAGTGATTCTTCTCTCTCAATCCAAACCAAAGAAAGATGATATTCTGATACATCAATCCTTCTAATATTTTGTTTGGGGGATGGTAGTAGGTTGAAAAACTTTGAAGAACCCCTCCCCCATAGACTCATGTTGGAATAAAAAGGCTAACTACTAGATCCTTGTGGAGATGTTCTGATGTTAGGTTGGAAAGGGATTTCTCTACAATGGTTTTTTCCTTTTCTCACCTCCCACCTACTCCTAAATCACTGTAATTTGGTTTCTACCCCTTCTCCCTATTGAACCTTCACCAGTTACCCTTTCCAATAGTTTCTTTGACCAGTATAATGACTGAACCACTTAACCAGTTCCTCCTTGAATCTTTCTTCTTCCTCGGTTTTGGTGACATATTTGACACCCCCCCCAAACATACAACTTTTGAGGCAATATAGTAGGCAGCCTATCCAATGATCTCACCTCCTGGTATTCACACATTCACGCTCTTGTGTAACCCCCTTTCATTGAGTGTAGGCTGGACTTACTGACTTGCTTCTAATGAGTAGAAAACACCAGAAGTAATGGGATGCCACTTTTGAGATTAGATTATAAAACGACTGTGACTTCTGTCTTGGCTGTTGCTTTCTCACTCTCTTGATAGCTTGTTCTGCGGAAAACCAGCAGCCATGTCATGAGGACACTCAGGCAGTCTATGGAGAGGCCCACATAGTGAGGAGCTGATGTCTCTGGCCAAAAACCATTGAAGAATTGCAGTCTGCTCACAGCTATGTGAATTTGGAAGTAGGTCCTTCCCCAGATGAGCCTTGAGAAGACTAAACCCCCAGCCAACTATGATTTCAGACTTGTGAGGGATCTTGAGCCAAAACGTTTCAGAGAAGCCTCTCCTGAATTCTTGACCCACAGAAACTATGAAATAATAAGCTGTTTGCAGCTGCGAAATTTTGGGGCAATTTTGTTATGCAGCAAGAGATAACCAATACAGGCTGCTTCTTGTTGGACTCTTCCATAGATTTGTCTTCCTTTTTCACTTCTTCCTCTTCAAATGTGGGTGGGAATGCTTGGCTAGCAGCTTAATCCTTTGTACCACAGTAAGTGCTCAATAAAAAATTATTGAATACATGTCATTGACTTGGAGATCTCATTTACTCTCACGGTTTAAGCAACACCCAGACCAGAGCACTCTCCTAACCTTCAATAAGTCATCTCTAACTTTTCAAACATTTCCAAGTTGACTACATAGCTACCCCCCCCTCGACTTTCCTGGCTGGGAACTTGAGAATCTTTTTGACTCGTCCTCATCCCTTGCCGCTTCTTCCCAATTACCAAATTCTGTTGATTATTCTTCATGTTTCTAGCGTATTTATTTCATCGTTTTTATTGTCACTCCCACCACCTTGGACCAGGTCTGTATCAGCCAATGCCTGGACTACTGCTCATCTTCTTCCTAACTGGTCCATCTCCTGTCTACAATTTTTTCCTTCCTTATTGCTCTTTCAGTAAATGGTGTCTTTATCCCTCAAGAAGATTCGATGGTTCCCCAATGCTTATGGGACAAGGTCCAAACTGTGTAGTCATTTTAGGCCTTTCACCATTTGGCTCCTACCTATTTTTCCAACTTTATCTGATCCACCATACCTGCAACACCTCTCACCATAGCTCTTCTTCCTTCACGCTCCCGTTTAAGGTCCTACATGCAAGTCACTTTACTACACGGTTCTAGTCTATCTTTCCACTTTCCAAGCTAGCACACTTTCTCTCATCACCTATTGAAATACCATCTCCTTTGTAAAGCCTTTCCCGTTTCTAAAACAATTACCAGATTATATTGAATATGTGTGTTTACTAGTCTGCTTCTCCTATTAAGACTGTGAGACCTTTAGGACAGGAAAAGTGACAGCGTCAGCATCAACGCTGCATCCTTAGCGCCCTGCACAGGGCCCAGGACACGTGGACCCTGAGTGTGGACAAAGGCGGAAGCAACAAGAATCGGGGAGACCAGGATGAAAATTCTCAGCTCTAATCAACGCGAGTGTGGGTTCTGGGTCTGAGATACCAATCATCTCACAAGGGACAGCACGAAAACCAACACCACACCGTAGAACAACTCTCCACGGTCGTGGAACCCAGACTCAGTTTGGCCCGCGGGTGCAGGATGATGACGTTATCCATAGCTCAGGCGGTGATTGGTTTCCGAAGAGCGGCGTCGACCGGCAACGGGATTCTCAGCCCTCGCGTAAGTTATCGCGAGAGCAGAGGCCTCGGGTGCGGGATGGCCGCAGAGCCGGGCGTATCTGGCTGGCTGCTCCCGGGTCCAGCTCCCCGGCCTAAGATATGGCCCGGGGCCCCGGCCCGTTAGGCCAGCCTCGCTCTAACACGGTCGCCATGCCCAAGAGGGGGAAGCGACTCAAGTTTCGGGCCCACGACGCCTGCTCTGGTCGAGGTGGGAGAGGGGGCGGGGGCGCTGAAGGACTAGAGGCTGGCGGCAGGGAGGGGGCTGGACCACGCCGAGGTGCCAGTGATGGGAGGGCGTCTCAGGCTGGGACCTGAAGTGAGGAGGCGGTCTTGGTGGAGGAGACACTGAAGAAAAAAGGCCTCCTCCTTGAGGGTTGGTGCTTTGTTTCAGTGACCGTGGCGGATTATGCCAACTCCGATCCGGCCGTCGTGAAGTCTGGACGGGTCAAGAAAGCCGTCGCCAATGCTGTTCAGCAGGAAGGTAGGTGTTCGGCAAGTGTCTCAGACTCAGGCCATGAAGACAGAACTAGGTGTTTTATTTTCCTGGGATTCTGACTGTGCTTTTCTTGCACTGCTTTTGGCATCGTCCCATAAACGTGTTTGCTCTCAGTGTTTACGCACGTATTCAGTGGAGGGATTAGCCAAGAGTAGCACTTTCTGTAGCAGAAATATCTTATTTCTGCCAGTTTTCTTCTTCTAGGGTATTAATCTTTTTCCTGTAGTTCACATATGTTATCCACTTACTCTGGACTTTGCTTCCTTATGTAACATTCTTGGAATGTTCTTTTCCAGCGTTTCTCTTGCTTTCAAGCTTTTTACTCACGTGCCCGAGACTTGTGTTTTTGTGAACGTATCATCTCTACCCCAGGGCCAGGGTAGATGGGATCCGGTTCCTCTCTGTTTCAAACATTGCTCCTCAGAATATATGTAAATGAGAGTAGAATTCACCTTTTGTTTTAAATCGTGCTGGGGTTATAGTGGAAGAAGAGCATACTCCCTTTCCCTTCAGATTTGAAGTAGGCACCTTTAAGGAGTCAGTTTCTGCAACTTTGGAATCGGTTTGTCCACTGTGTTTCAGTGTTCTGTATTTAAAATGCTAACATTTCTTCTTGTCTTTATCCTTGGTGATAGATTCTCAGCTTTCTCCAGCAGACTCGATCACACCTCCCCTGCCTCCCACTCCTTTGCTTTCCCTGATGGATGCTGATATCCTGGCTAAGCTGTTTGTAATTCTGGGTAATGCCATCTCATTCTCCCTTATTTTCTTCTAGTAAAATCTCTTTGTGGCTTGGAAGCCTCCCAGGTTCCTGCAGAGGAAGCTCTCTCTGGGGCTGGTGAACCCTGTGACATCATCGACAGCAGTGACGAGGTGGACGCCCAAGAGGAGAGCATTTATGAGAGAACTGTCTCCAGAAAAAAGAAAAGCAAGAGGCACAAAGGTATAGAGCTATTCCCTTTTGGCTTATCAGCCCTGTCTGTGATGGTAAACTGAGGAGTTCTCACTGCTCATTAGCACAAGGGGAGGTACGAAAGGTAATACGAGTAGAGAAATAAAGTTTAGGGGAAAACCTAGCTCTCAGATAGGAGCTTGGTAGCGGGACAGGGTATAATACATCAGGGCTTTTTATTTTTGTTAAATTCGAGAAGGAAGGAGATTGGTAAGAGTCAGTATATTTCTGGAGCTGTGAACTTGACTCTAGTGGCCATTCATTTAGGTAAAAATCCATATATAGCAGCATGATAACAAAAGTCATTACATTTCTGGATTATGAATGTGTAAGGAAGCAGAAATATGAGAATAAATGTTTTCCCAAACGTGGATTGTATGGTAACCAGTTTTATTTCGGATAAAGTTAGATATTATCCTGAGATTTTAAGTTCTGTACAGTTATTTACTTTGTGTCTGCTTTATGCCTTTATGTGGGAAATAGAAAAGTATTTGATGTTTAGATCTTACTGGAGATAAAACTTACGTAAATGAAACAAAGAAAAACTAGTGATATATCATGTGCGAAATCATCATTCAGATTCCAGGTTGTACCCCAGACTTAATGATGAGAACCTCTTGGGGTGGAGCCCAGAATAGCTGTTCTTAAAGCTCTGCTGATAGTTCTGATGATCAGCTAGGTTTAAGGAGAGGCTGATACGTAATAAATGATATGTGTATTTTTGGTCTCAGATCTACCAAAACTTCATCTCTACTTGAGAATAACATAACAGATACTTGTATTTGTTAAAATATATTGAAATAATGAATTAACGAACTGGCATTCCTTTGTAATTATACCAGTTATTGTCAGCAGTACCACTCTTCAAGACCCCAGTATTAATATTGACATTCCCCACTTCTTTGTTCCTTAGTCACCTAGTCACCACAGCCATTCTGTTAGTTTTTTTTTTTTTAACACATTCCTCAAGACTTACAAACTTTTATAAGCAGCATCTTTATTGAGATAAAATTCACTCCACTGAAGTGTACAATTCAGTGGCTTTAGTATGTTTACAGAGTGGTACAACCATCAATATGATCTAAGCTTAGAACATTTTCATCACCCCATAAATAAACTCCATACCATTAGCATCACCCCTCATTCCCTCCCAGTGCCACCCCCAGCCCTAGGCAACCACTAACCTACTTTCTGTCTCTATAGATATGCCTGTTCTGGACATTTCATTGTAAATGGGATCATAAAATATGTGGTCTTTTGTGTCTGGCTTCTTTTACTTAGTAGGTTTTTAAGCTTCATCCATATTGTAGACTGTTTCATTATTTCATTCCTTTTTATTGCTAAATAATATTCAGTTGTATGGATAATACCACATTTTATTTATCCATTCATTAACTGATTAACATTTGGGTTTCCATTTTTTGACTATTATGAATAATTCTTCAGAACATTTGTACACTGTTTTTCTAAAGTACCCATTTTACATGCCCGTCAGCAATATATGGGGGTTCCAATTTTTCAACATTCTCACCAACACTTGTTATCGTCACTTTTTTGTTATAACCATCTTCATGGATGTGAAGTTGTATCTCATTGTGGTTTTGATTTGCATTTCCCTGATGGCTAATGATGTTGAATATCTTTTCACATGCTTATTGGCCATTTGTATATCTCCTTTGGAGAAATGTCTATTCAAATCCTTTGCCCATTTTTACATTGGATTAGTTGTCTTTTTATTATTGAGTTATAAAAATTCTGTATACGTTTATGATACCTTTTCCTTGTCACATATATGATTAGTGACTTATAGAGTCTTAACCATAATTCATCTTTTACTTCCTTGCTCCACTTTATCGCCATTAGGCTCACTCATTCTAATAAGACTTTTTTTTTTTGTTTTTTGGGGGTGGTGGTGGTTATTTTTATTGTTCTTTAGACGAAGGTTTACAGAACAAAGTAGCTTCTCATTAAACAGTTAGTACACATATTGTTTTATGACATTGGTTAACAACCCCACAACATTGTCAACAGTCTCCCTTCTCAACCTTGGTTTCTCTATTACCAACTTTCCTGTCCCCTCCTGCCTTCTCGTCCCTGCCCCTGGGCTGGTGTGCCCATTTAGTCTCATTTTGTTTTATGGGCCTGTCTAATCTTTGGCTGAAGGGTGAACCTCAGGAGTGACTTCATTACTGAGCTAAAAGGGTGTCCGGGGGCCATACTCTGGAGTTTCTCCAGTCTCTCTCAGGCCAGTAAGTCTGGTCTTCTTTTGGTTAGAATTTTGTTCTACATTTTTCTCCAGCTCTATTTGGGACCATCTATTGTGATCCCTGTCAGAGCAGTCAGTGGTGGTGGCTGGGCACCATCTAGTTGTGCTGGACTCTGTCTGGTGGAGGCCGTGGTAGTTGTGGTCCATTAGTCCTTTGGGCTAATCTTTCCCTTGTTTCTTTAGTTTTTTTGGTTCTCCCTTGCTCACGGAGGGGTAAGACCAGTGGAGTATCTTAGATGGCTGCTGACAGGCTTTTAAGACCCCAGATGCTACTCAAGGACTGGTCTTTTTTTTTCCTCTTCTTTCTTTTAGTTTCTTTTTAATGAAACATATACAAAAGAAGAAAGAATAGTGTAATGAAACCCCATGTACCCATTACCCAGATTCCACAGTTATCAACTCATGGCCATTTTTGTTTCAACTATTTACTTCCTCCCCCACCCCACCTCCACATGTAGTAGATTATTTTGAAACAATTTTTAGATTACCTGTTATTATCATTAATCTGTAAATATTTTAGTAATTATTTCGAAAAGATAAATAACTCTTAAAAACAAAAACCATTATCACATCTAAATAAGCTAACAGTAATTTCTTAATAGCAAAATCATGTCAGACTTGTCGCTTTACTGCCCTTACATGTGTTTTGTTTTTCTAAGCACCTTAGCTTCATGTTAGCTGTTATTTCACTTGGAATGCTTTTCCTCTTAATCTGTGCCTATCAAAATTATTTATGTCCTTCAGGGCTTACCTCTATGAAGCCTTCCCTTACTGATTCCAGTTCCCTCATTTTGAAACTTCTTAATAATTATATCTGTATTAAACACTGACAGTTCTTCCCTAATTACTAAATTTTGCCTCTAAACAGAAAAATTTTAATAGTGCTCTGCTTTGTCTCAGTGGAGGAAATTCTGATAGTCATTTGTCTTCTCTTAGAGAGGAGACTTAATGTGGGAGATGGGACCAAACATGGTAGAATGAGCCCTGGATGGTTACTGGAGATTACAAGAAGGGACAGGAACCAGAAAAGAGGATATTGTTTTAGATGTATGGCTTCTGTTAGAAAAATCTAATGCAAGAACCTGATTGAGTCATAGAGCTAAAGGAAGTAGATAGCTAGAAAAGCAGGGGCAGTTTTAGGAAGGTGGTTTAGGGGCTCTTTTGCGGAGGAAAGAAGAAAGCTGGTTTTAGGATATTTCTGTTACTAGCTCTGAGTTAAGGGAATCAGTGGAGCCCAGATTCTGGTATCATGGAGTGTGAGTTTTTTATCTGAACCTGAGATGGATGGTAGCCCGCAGGGTCAAGATGTATAGTTAGTTAACACTAATGAAGTCTGAAGGAAGAGAAAGTAGAGATACATTGTCAAGGAGTGACTGAATGTTTGTGGCCAGGGTCATAGGCAACTGACAGTGAACTGAGGAAATAGAAGAAACATGTTTATAAAAACAAACAAATAAACCCAATGCTGTTGAGATTGAGTTGACTCATAGCGACCCTATCGTATAGAGTAGAACTGCCCCGTAGGCTGGTGGATTGGAACTGCTGACCTTTTGGTTAGCAGCTGAGCTCTTAACCACTGTACCACCAGGGCAGTTGGTTATTGAGTAATGAGAATACACTGTAACTCAGTTTTTTATTTAGTTCGTACTTTGAGGTTTCCTTTACCATCCTAAAATTGGGTTTGTTTTTAAATGACTGAACTGAAGAAAATGGTGGATGGGGACTGCAAGAGAATTCAAGGACAGGATTTATAGTGCAGAGCTGGAATTTGGAGTCAGAAAACTCAGGTTGTATTTACCTTGACAAGGTTCTGTTTTTCTCATTAGTAAAATGGGCACAATAATATTTTCGGCGCTTATTCCCCTTGCGGAATTATTGGAGTTGGATGATATAATGTATGCAAAAATACTTTGAAAACTTTTAAATAGCATGTAAATAGATATTAAATAAAGGTCTTAAATTAAGAAAAGACCTATCCACTTGGACACAGAGGCAAAGTTTCTAGTAGTTTGAATAAGCAGGAAATAATGAGTTTGAGGGACTTCCTTGGACCTGTTTAAAACCTTTCTTTATTGTACAACACCTGGAAAAACTGAAATTGTTAGAGATCTTTAGATATGTGTATAGTAGAAAGTCAAAGGTTATGATTCTTTTTTCTGTTTCAGAAGACCTGGACAGGGCTGGAGGAGAAGAGTATCCCATGGATATTTGGCTCTTGCTGGCCTCATACATCCGTCCTGAGGACATTGTGAATTTTTCCCTGATTTGTAAGAATGCGTGGACTGTCACTTGCACTGCTGCCTTTTGGACCAGGTTGTACCGAAGGTGCGACCACAGAGAGCTCACTGTGTTATCTGTGTAGCTGATTTCATTGCTGTTTGTGATTTGGAGCTACTCCCTGGATGGTGACCTTTTCAATTTCTCTGCTCTTTGCCTGGGTGTGAGCCTAGCATTGGATTCCTTGAGTCCCTCTAATTTAAATTTGATATTATTAATTCATCCAGGTAATTGTCTTCCCTATGGTTGCGGCCCCACCCCCAGTATATACTTTTAGTAAAAAGCAGTGGGCTTCAGGTCCCAAAAAGAACTTTGACTTTTCTTCAGAGTTTTACCTTAGCCAGAATTTTCAAAAGCTACAGGTGCCTATCTGCTTATCTTTCCAACTCAATTAGTTGTTTCTCAGATTTACTCATCAAGTTGGAAGTATCATATAGTTTTTGTACTTATGCTGCCATGTGTACAGTTGTCGTGATGAGGAGAGAGTGAGTTGTATGATTAGTAAGGGGGCTAGCTTTTGATGCTGGTGTGAAGCGTAGTGAAGATTGTAAACTGTCAGTAAGGATGTAGTGGGAACGGATGTAGCAGGGAGTAGCAAGCTTGCTGACACCACTGACAGGAAAACCTAGTGGTTCTTTCCCAGTACAGGTTCTTTTCAAACAATTGAAGTATGTTGTACTGTTATCAATTCAGAGACTTGCTCTTTTGTAGAGTGAAATAGTGAGGATTTAAAATTTCAGAATGGATGGAGAAATACAAGATTATAAGGTAGATGTGAAGAAGCAGCAAAAGTAGCTGAGACGTTAAGGAGATGGGGGTTTGTGTGTGTGTAAGCATTGGGGACAAGCTAAGTACTGGCCAGTGGACTAGTGCAGTGAAGTTCACACAGAGACCAGGAGCCCCAGAGACTGACAAGGAGCAGAGCGACAGGTCACATATCGGTAGGAGTAATGTGTCATGTTTCAGGCACTACACGCTGGATGCCTCTCTGCCTTTGCGCCTGCGACCAGAGTCAATGGAGAAGTTGCGCTGTCTCCGGGCATGTGTGATCCGATCTCTGTACCATATGTATGAGCCATTTGCTGCTCGAATCTCCAAGAATCCAGCCATTCCAGAAAGCACTCCCAGCACACTAAAGAATTCCAAAGTAAGTGAGAATTAGTGTTGGGGTTTGACTAATGGACTCTTGTATGGTGGGTCTGCTTTCATGGCTTGTTCTCCAGCTTCCTTGATGCTGAGGGCTGTAGGTCACAGGCTGCTAGGGGACTAATGAAACTTTTAGGGTTCAGAGGCCTCACTTCTCCAAGACATTCTCGCTGTGTTGGGCTGGCTTATGTTATCTTTAACTTAAAGCTTTCCTGTGCTGTTAGTGTATCCTCTGTATTTTAATTTATTGTCACGCATTGTACATTGGACCACTTTAGATATGATGGTTTGGGCTAGGAAGAGCACAACTGTAATGGTGGATGTAAACTACAATTTTTAAAAAGTGCTTTAAATCACGGTACAAACATATAACATGAACAACTCACTTATTTTCTCTAATGTGACCTTGACATCTGGGAGCCCTTTTCTTGTTGATCTCCTTAGAAGAGTCCTGGTCTAGGCTTTATCCCTTTAGCATTTGCTAAGCACCCACTGTTGCTAGGCTCTGTGGTAGGTCTTCTCAGAGGCTAAAAGTTACTCGTATTCACAGACCTTAGCGCTCTAAAATCCTTTCTGTGTTCTAGGCTATTTTTTATATCTCATGATTTCCCCATATTTTGTACTCATACATTGTATTCAGTTTCTGGCATTCTTCTGATTTGTAAATAGGCCTATTAGCCTTTGGTCCATCCCCATGAAATCTCAAGTGAAATCACCTCTGCCAAGCTAGTAGTAGTGCAGTAGATATGGTTATTTATGCAGACTGATGTCTTGGCCTTTTTCTCATTCAGCTAATACCATCGTCTTTAGTTTCGTATCTTTTGAGTTTGGAGATAATTTTTATTGCTCTGTTCCTACCCAAAGTCTGATGCTCTATAGCACGTTCTATTGTTTAAATACTAATGAAAGTTGTATGATGATTATTCTCCCCTAGTTTAGCTCTAGGGCCCTGGGTGGTGCACATGGTTTAAGCTCAGCTACTAACGTGAAGGTTGGCAGTTTGAACCTAACTAAGTGGCACCACGAAGAAAGGCCTAGTGATCTGCTTCCATAAAGATTGCAGCCAAGAAAACCCTATGGAGCAGTTCTACTCTGTAACACGTGGGTTCGCCATGAATCCGAATTAACTCAACGATAATAGGTATAATTTAGCTCTGTTGTTGCTGTTAGGTGCCGTTGAGTTGGTTCTGACTCATAGCGACCCTGTGTACAACAGAACGAAACACTGCCCAGTCCTGTGCCATGCTCATAATCATTGCTGTGCTTGAGCTCATCATTGGCAGCCACTGTGTCAGTCCATCTCGTCGAGGGTCTTCCTCTCTTTCGCTGAGCCTCTGCTTTATCAAGCATGATGTCCTTCTCCAGGGACTGGTCCCTCCTGATAGCATGTCAAAAGCACATGAGACGAAGTGTTGCCGTCTTCATTTCAAAGGAGCATTCTGGCTGTACTTCCAAGACAGATTTGTTCGTTCTGGCAGTCCATGGTATGTTCAATATTCTTTTGGAAGACAGCTACCTGGCCAGCCGACTGAAATCCATATTTGTGCCCATTCTAAACAAAGGTGATCAACCGAATGTGGGAATTATGAAACAGTAGCATTAATATCACATGCAAGTAAAATTTTGCTGAAGATCATTCAAAAGCAGTTGCAACAGTACATTGACACAACTGCCAGAAATCCAAGCTGGATTCAGAAGAGGATGGGGAACCAGGGATATCATTGCTGATGTCAGATGGATCTTGGCTGAAAGCAGCAGATAGTAGAAAGATGTTTACCTGTGTCTTATTGACTGCACAAAGGCATTCGACTAACAGATTGTGGATAACATTGCAAAGAATGGGAATTCCAGAACACTTAATTGTGCTCATGAGGAACCTGTACATAGACCAAGAGGCAGGCATTCTAACAGAACAAGGGGATACTGCGTGGTTTAAAATCAGGAAAGGTGTGTGTCAAGAATTTTATCCTTTCACGATGCTTATTCAGACTGTATGCTGACCAAATAATCTGAGAAGCTGGACTGTTTGAAGAACTCGGCATCAGGATAGGAGGAAGATGCATTAACAACCTTGCTTGCTGAAAGAGGGCTTGAAGCACTTACTGATGAAGATCAAAGACTACAGCCGTCAGTATGGATTACACCTCAGCAGTAAAAACAAAAATCTTTGCAACTGGACCAGTAAGCAACATCATGATAAATGGGGAAAGATTGAAGTTGTCAAGGATCTCATTTCACTTGGATCCACCATTAACACCTACGGAAGCTGCAGTCAGGAAGTCAGACAATGTATTGCATTGGGCAAATCTACTGCGAAAGACCTCTTTAAAGTGTTAAAAAGCAAAGCTGTCACTTTGAGGACCAGGGTGCACCTGACCCAAGCCATGGTGTTTTCAGTTGCCTCATATGCGTGCAAAAGCTGGACGGTGAACAAGGAAGACCAAAGAAGAATTAGATCCTTTGAATTGTGGTGTTGGCGAAGAATATTGAATATACCATGGATTGCCAGAAGAATGAACAAATCTGTCTTGGAAGAAGTACGAGTTTAGCACTAGGGTGATAATATTCCACCTGATATATGTGGATATAAAACCTGATATATATTGATTAAAATAGTACTGTGGATTTCAAGATTAATCCACATAACTCAAGTATAGGAGTTTATCAAGCCCCCTTCCCGCCCCCAGGGTTGTAAACTTAGGAGATCACGGCCATTGGCTGAGCTCAATATTATGCTAGCTGATGGATTTAGTAGAATGCTGGGTGAGTAGAATTTCATCCAGCAGCTGCTTCTGCTTGTAATATGAGTGGACAGCACATCATTTCACACTTCCCGTCTCTACCCACAAAAACATTTGACAGTATGAGACTAATTATTGTGAGGATGGGGTCATCCATAAATTAACCATAAACCCAAACCAAACCCGTTGCCGTCGAGTCGATTCCAACTCACAAATTAACCATACGAGGTGTGAATCAATTGCTGGGAGCAGAGCAGCTTTGAGCAAACTCCTCATGCTTGACACATCCTAGCGGCTCCAGTGCACAATGCAAGTGTTGCTGCCTAAATTCTAAAATACCCATGTCTTCATGTTCTTATCACTGTATATTAATTTTTGGAAGTAGACTATAAAAAGCCAAGGTGGAATGAAAACTAAGCTCATAACCCAAATTGTCAGCCCAGGCCACCTGGCTGCTGCCTTTTTGTACCTTTTATTAGAGATCTTCTGAAAAGGGTGTGGGACCTGCAGTGGCAGGTATCCCATGCATGGCCTTGCCACTTGTATACCCACAATCGCATGGCATTCAAGGAGTTGCTGGCATGCCTAAAGGAAGTTACCCCATGTTCCTGGACTCCAGCTTTTCGTATTTGATTCCCCCTCTCTCTCTTTTCAGTAGCATAGCTTGTTTGGGACACTGGAGCCGTTGTGATGGCAGCAGAAGTGTTTGCCCCTTAAAGCCAAGCCCATTATTTTTGATGGAACAGCAGGACGTACAGGGCATGTCTGAAGGGCAGGACAGCTGGCACGGCGGACGACCCACCCCTTATCCCCTGGGAGGTACTTCACTTCTTGTGCTTAACCCTGGCTGTAGCCTGACTTTGATCAAGGGACTTTCTTTAGACTGAATTCAGCCCAGCTTTGTAGTTTGCACACTGCTGTCTGCTCCCAGAAAGTCCTGAGCAACTTGCTTCTCTTCCAGGGCCAGCCGTCGCTGCCTGGCTTCTAGCCTTGTTAGCATCTTGCCTGGTGGCTGCTGGCTGCCCTTATATTTTAAAGTAGTGGAGTGGCCTGCTAAATCAGAGAGAATGCCCCAGTCTCCAAAGACCATGTTTCCATTTTTAAAGATGAGAATGGTAGGGGTTTACCTCCACAGTCTCTGAGGGACTTATATTGGTCCTTTTTCTCTTAATTGAACAGCTCTAGGATTGTCTCTTCATGTTGCACCAGTGTCAGGTTGGGGGTTCTATCTGTGCCTGAGTATAATCTCAGCATTGGGACTGTGGCTGGCTTTAGTTCTGTCAAACAGAGAGGTTTTTGCTGATTATTTTTTGTTACGTTATAGTGTATTTTTATTTTTCGTGTCTCTCTCTCCTTTTTTTATTTTTGGTTTATTTTGTTTTTATTTTCTTACAGTGCTTACTTTTCTGGTGCAGAAAGATTGTTGGGAATAGACAGGAACCAATGTGGGAATTCAACTTCAAGTTCAAAAAACAGGTATATGGTTTTATGCTGTGTTTCAGTGTGCAATGATATGACCGTATCTACTTGGGGTGTGAGAGGAAGAAGGGAAATTGGTGAAGTTCAATTGGCAAGGATTTTCTAAGGATTCTAATAGGCTGCGTGCCAACCTGTGGATGGTAGTTTCCTTTCATTTATCTTGGCTCTCAATGCTAACCAAAATCATCTCCGATATAGGTGGTTCATTTTGACACCAGCCACTTAGAATCAGGGCCCTAACACGTTTCTTTAGGATCTTGGCATTGGCCTGGTTTGATACTCCTTATAGGTTTGTATCCACAGGGCTAAGTCCCTCAGCATTATTGATGTGATATTTAGACAAGCCATATATTCTTAAACATATCATTAGGAAATAATACTAGGAATAATACTGAGTAATATGGGGAATAGTACTGGGAAAGAATAGTAGGTGTTCTTAGCCATTTCACTGTTGTCCCATAACATGAGATGAAGCTAATGCCTAACAGCTCTTGCATTGATGGGAAAAAAAAACCATGAAATGATCCTTCTCCAAAAGATGAGTGGTGAGGGCATTTTAAGGGTTTCAGGTTGGAGGCTGAGCCCTTTGAATACATGACTGAGGCAGTCCCAGAATTTAATTGTACCTCACTGCTAGGTAGGCATCACTATTTCCAAACAAACGTTATCTTCTTTTTGTTTTTCAGGTAATATCTTGTTCTAATTTCACTAGACATCAAAATTGCGTTATTAACATCAAATAATACACATCAGAACTTCAAATAATGCAATGAAAAGAAAAGGAATGAGGAACTGTTTTATACTGACAGAGATTACAAAGACATATGCAAAGAGTAAACTTTGACTGGGTCCTGTAAAACAAAGCTATAAAAAACATTTTTTGGGACAATTAGGGAAATTTGCATATGCTGTGGATATTAGATGATATGAAATCAGTTAATTTTCTTAAGTGTGATAATAATATGTTTATATTGAAATGTCTTTATTCATACTGAATTAATTAAGGGTGGAGTGTCAGTGTTACTTTCAAATGGCTTAGTAGCCCCCCACAGTGTGTACAAAAAAGTGAGGAGAATGGAAAAGAGATAACAATGGACTGAGGTTATTTGCCTGAAAATGTTTTTGTTGTTGTTCAAAGTAAATGTATTTGTAAACAACAGTGATTTATGTGGTTTTACATCTGAGACGATTTGGGGAAGCCATGAAGAGAGGCAGTGCCAAAAGTCTTCTTATAAGAAGGGTAAATACTATTCCATATCTGTCTCTGCACTTGGCTGGGACTGCCCGAGATCTTGACCACAGTGAGAAACTGTTCTGCCTGTCATTACTGCTTACCCTCAGCAACCGCTTACCCTCAGCAGCCTCGTTTCTTCCACCTCTTGTCTCTACTTACTATTTCACTGATAAGACACATTACAAATACAGTTAGTTATCCTTCACTTGATAGCACATGAGTTACAGATAGGTTTATAATTAAAGTATATCATAACTTCTTACTGATTTGTTTCAAAAACATAAGAATTTTGTGTCTGATAATTGCCTTTTAATAAGATGCCCATGTTCTGTGACACCCATCAGATATTGGTAGAAAATTCATGGTAGGACCTTTCTGGGCAGGGACTGAGGGGCAGCCGTAAGTGGTGCAGTGTGACTATAAGCAGAAACCAGAATTACTATGTGAAAGTGAATGCTCGGCGGAGCCATATGACTCCGTTGTTTTATGGTGCCTGGAATTAAGGTGGCCACTTCTGCTTGCAGCCCTTTTGTATGGCAGATGTTCTCTGGATTCTGACGAGTAGCAAGGAATTTGTTGTAATGTTTCAAACATTGGAGAGCCTCTGATAGAGACTATAAGTTTCCATGTCTTGTCAGATGGCAGGGAATGCTATCTAAATGAAGTGTAAGTCCACTGCCATAGATTTGTGAGGTCTAATCTTAGTATAATGGAAGCTATTTTTAAAGTTTACCCTGTTTGGTAGAAGTAGAAAAATGGCCATAGGCCAGGATGTGGAAATAGCTTTGCAGTTATTATCCAGACTCTGCACTAAATAATAAGTACTACTTTGTACTTACTAAAATGAAGTTTTATTTGTGTTTAGTTCCAGTTGGAGAAAAGGTTGCATCTTTGATCTAAAATCTGTGGTTTTCAATTAAGCATGCAATTCCTATCCCTCATTATAGATGCCACAATAATTGAAAGTTCGATATAGCTCCTCTTTAAAATTCATGAACCTTTCTGTTTGTGAATCTTGCAACAGCTACTCTTCCAAATGTGTTTCCCCTTCTTTCAAAGGGCAGGTTTTCTTTGATCTCTGTATAGAAACCGATAGTACATACAGAGAGAGGAGATAGCAAAAAAGTGAATCTCACTAGGTTTAGTTGAGCCATAGTATTTTCATTGGTGGAGTCTTAGAGCCATAAAAATTTCGTTTAAGTCATTAGTTTAATTCTCAATTCTCTTCAGCCCCCTAGGTTAAAGAGCAAGTGTATGGGAGGGTTGCAGCCGCCCATTCAATACGAAGATGTTCATACCAACCCAGACCAGGACTGCTGCCTACTGCAGGTCACCACCCTCAATTTCATCTTTATTCCAATTGTCATGGGAATGATCTTTACCCTGGTAAGTGGGGACTCAGGGTGTCATCCTCTACTCTTGTACCCATTAAAAAAACCCATTGCCATCAAGTCGATTCCAACTCACAGGGACTCCACAGGACAGCAGAACTGCCCCACAGGATTTCCAGGGCTGTAATCTTTCTTTTCAGTGCTGTTAGAGCTTGTTTTATGTATCTTGGAGCCCTATCATTGGGTGTGTAAATATTTATTATAGTTATGTCCTCCTAGTGTATTGACCCTTTAATCATTATATAGTGTCCTTCCTTATCCTTTGGGGTGGATTTTACTTTAAAGTCTATTTTGTCAGAGATTAATATTGCTACTCCTGCTCTTTTTTGAGTGTTGTTTGCTTGATATATTTTCTTCCATCCTTGGAGTTTTTGTTTGTGTCTTTAAATCTAAGGTGTGTCTCTTGTAGGCAGCATACAGATGGATCATGGTTTTTTATCCATTCTGCCACTCTCTGTCCCTTTATTGGTGCATTTAGTCCATTTACATTCAGTGTAATTATTGATAGGTATGAGTTTAGTGTTGTCATTTTGATGTCTTTTTTTTGTGTGTTGTTGACAGTTTCTTTGTTCCGCTTAATTTTCTGTGCTGACTCGTTTTTGTTTATGTATTTTCATTGTTGTTGATTTTGTATTTGCTGAGTCTTTGTATTTTCCTTGTGTTTTATTTTGATGTGTAGGATTGTTAGTTTCCTTTGTGGTTACCTTAATATCTACCCCTATTTGACTAAGTTTAAACCAGTTTTTTATTTCTTTATATCACCTTGACTTCCTCTCCATATGGAAAATCTATGTCTACATTTTTTAGTCCCTCTTTTTTAACGTTGTCATCTTTTACATATTGACATCTCTGTTTCCCCATTTTAAGTGTTTTATCTTTGATTTATTTTTGTGACTTAGCCCTATTTCGGTTGATAGCTGATTGTTCTGTCCTGTGTTGTAGTCTTGGGTTGTTATTTGATGTTATTGATTTTCTAACCGGAGGACTCCCTTTAGTGTTTCTTGTAATTTTGGTTTCGGTTTTGCAAATTCCCTAAACTTCTGTTTATCTGGAAATGCCCTTATTTTGCCATTGTATTTTAGAGACAGTTTTGCTGGTATATAATTCTTGGCTGGCAGTTTTTTTTCCTTCAGGGCTTTATGTATGTCATCCCCTTACCTTCTTGCCTGCGTGGTTTCTGCTGAGTAGTCCAAGCTTAGTCTTAGTGACTCTCCTTGTAGATGACTTTTTTGTTTATCCCTAGCCGCTCTTAAAAAATGTCTATCTTTGATTTTGGCAAGATGATTATAATATGTCTTGGTGACTTTCTTTTGGGATCTGCCTTGTGTGGGGTTCGATGAGCATCTTGGATAGATATCTTCTCATCTTTCACGGTATCAGGGAAGTTTTCTGCCAACAAATCTTCAACAATTCTCTCTGTATTTTCTGTTATCCACCCCCCCCCCCATTTTGGTACTCCAGTCACTTGTAGATTATTCCTCTTGATAGAGTCCCACATAATTCTTAGGGTTTCTTCCTTTTTTTCAATCCTTTTATCTGATTTTTCCTCAAATAAGTTGCTGTCAAGTGCTTTATCTTCAGTCTCACTGACTCTGACTTCCATTGCCTTAATTCTGCTCCTATGACTTTCTGTTGAGTTGTCTAATTCTGAAATTTTATTGTTAATCTTCTGGATTTCTGATTGCTGTCTCTCTATGGATTCTTGCAGCCTGTCAAATTTGTCATTATGCTTTTCTCTAATCTTCTTAAGTTCATCTATTGCTAGGTCTGCATTTTGTCTGATCTCCTTCCTGTTGTCTCGAAGAGTTCTGTATATTAATCTTTTGTATTCTGCCTCTGGTAATTCCAAGAAATTCTCTTCCTCCAGAAAGTTTCTTGATTCTTATTTTGGGAGCTTGCTGAAGCCGTCATGATCTGCCTCTTTATGTGATTTGATATTGACTGTTGTCTCCAAGTCATCAATAAGTTATTATATTTATTTTATGTTTGCTTACTGTGTCCTAGCTTCTTGTTTTGTTTTGATATGCCAAATAGGCTGCTCATGTGAGCTAGCCTGGTCACCGGCACCCCTGAAGCTTCAGTGTCCTGCTACCAGGTGGCCAGACCTGCCACTAAGTATGTGAGCCCAGGAGTCCGCCCACTCTTCCTGTATGGATTCAGCTCAGGTGTCCAGGTAGTCAACCACCAAATGTGTGGTGCAGGCTTTTACCTACAGTCCTAGACAGGCACGGGTGATTGGTGTAGGCACAGGCATCTGGCTGCAGCAGGGGGTCACACGCTGAGCAAGGCAGGGGGCCAGTGGCCGCCTCCGAGTGTCCGGGAGGAAAGTGTGTCCCTGTTTCCTAAATCACATAGGTAGGTGGGTTTTGCAGCCAGGCTATGAGCACCCAGTGCTGTTGGCTGTAAGGGCTGGGGGGCACCACTTATTCTTGGCCCGTCTCAGGTAGCTAGGTGGCGTGGGTGGAGCCATCAGTCCTCAGGCCCCAATGTGGGTAGGTGAAGACCCTGTTTAATGGGCAGAGCAGTGTCAAATGTCACAAATCTGCCAGTTCACAGCTGAAACAGGTGAAGTTAGACTTCAGGTATATACACTGTTGTACTGTGGTAATGAGGACCTACACTGTTGAAATGGGCCCACACGAGTTTCTCCGGGGGGAAAGGGACTCAAAATCCGTGGAGCCCTTTTCCTGTGCCTCGGCAAAGGAGCTGTGCCTACCCTGAGTTCCTGACTTAGCGGAGCCAACCGATTATTTTTTCCCATTTGTTAATTTGTTCCCTCTCCAAGACTGGGGGAATGGCTTAGGGTGGGTGAGGGGTTCTACTTTCAGCCCAGGGGACTTGGCAGTTGCTGAAGCCGTCCTGGACCCAGTGCAGAGCAGGGAGTGGGGAGGTAAATGGGAGAGAGGTTTTTCCCAAAGGGGGGTGTTTTTGATCTGCATGGTATGCCAGACGCAAGTACTTAACCTTTTGCCAATCGAAGGCTGCTTCTCACTGTAGACTCTCCGCCACTGGTTCAGTCTCGGTGTGGGAAACGCCTCCCAAGCACCACTGCCTGCCTCACCGTGCACCATGAGCCGATCTGGCCTGAAGGGCTCTGGCTCCTGCCGGCTCAGGTCTGGCAACTCCTTGCTGCTTCTAAACCATCTCTCCCTCTCGCTGCCACTCAGTCAGATTGCTCAACTTTGCCTTTGATGTTCAGGGCTCCTAGATTGTCATATATAATTGATTAACTTGTCTTTTTGGGTCTTTGTTGTAAGAGGGACCACTGGAAGCGTCTGACTACTCCGCCATCTTGGCCCCGCCTTCCCAAGGCTGTAATCTTTAGGGAAGCAGAGTGCCACATCTTTCTCCTGAAGAGCAGCTGGTGGGTTTGAACTGCCAACTTTTTGGTTAGCAGCCGAACACTTAACTGCTGTGCTATCAGGGTTCCTAGCTGTTGTACAGACTCTCACTATATATAGGCTTTGAAAGAGATTTGTAAGTTTAACCGTCCAAGAAAAAATTTTTGAAGAATAATAAAGTCTGATGTCAGACTTGTATATTATGAACAGGTAGATTTGTGGAGAAGTTAATTACACCTGAGACTATTTTACCTCTTTTTCTTTCTCTATAGGAATGTAGTTTCTAAAGGAGAATGTTTTTGCGTTTTCATGTGTAGTGATCATTAATGAATGAGAAACATTGTCCCATTTGGGATAATGACAAGACTTATATGGGAGCACGTATGTCAGGACCGTGGGGGCATGCACATGGTGTCATAAATGGAATATTCAAATATAGGGTGGCCATGTCTGTCCTTTGTGTGATGCTGTAACTATTCACGGCTTACCTAAGAGTTAGATTAGTAAACACCATGTATGCCTCTGGCATATTTTCCAGATTTTTAGACATTTTAATTGGATTGGCAGTTGGAGAGTTCATGTAATTTGTCTTCTCTGTATTTTAGGCTTATGTTTAGTGATATACAGGGTTCTCCTTCCACAATGAAAAATTTTATTTTTTTCCTGGTAAAATAAATAATGCATAGTTTGACTCCACCAGGTGCTCCTTAGAAACCCTATGGGGCAGTTCTCCTCTGTCCTATATGGTCAGTATGAGTCAGAATCAACTTGACGGCAGCGGGTTTTAACATCTTATAAAGGATTTAAATAATACATAAAGATACTGAGAAAGTAAAGGTGACTTAGACCACCACTACCCTGTAACTGTAACCTTTTGGGAACTGTTCTTGAATGTATCTGTTAATATGTATATGTAAATAGCCTCTTAAATAATTTTGCATAATTGGGATGATGTCATACATGCTGTTTTTATTGTAGACGCCTCTCCCCTCCTTCCAGGTTAAGCCACATTAACAACCTAGTTAATATACAGATATATTCCTTATACTCCATACTCATAATCCTGTATAGACCTATATATTGACATGCATATATAGGGATTTTGTGGTTTATTTTACAAAAAAGGGATCAGGTTATACATAATTACATGCATCTTGTTCCACTTCCCCAATAATATCAAAATCCCTTCAAGTCATCTCTTAAAGCTCTAACTCAATTTTTAAAAATTGCTCTGGTGGTGTAGTGATTAAGACCTCTGGCTGCTAATCAAAAGATCGGCAGTTCGAATCCACCAGCCGCTCCTTGGAAACCCTATGGAGCAGTTATACTCTGTCCTGTAGAGTTGCTGTGAGTCGGAATTGACTTGATGGCAATGGGTTTGGTTTTTTCTTTTTTGGGTATGTATTCAGCCTTTTATGGGGCTTTCTTTAGTTTAAATATATGAAGCTGAGAAGAATTTCTAAAAATTATCCTTAAATTTTTATGTTTTTAAAGACATTGGTGTTATAATCCAAAGATTAATTCTTGTTGCCTAGCTAGTGTAAATGATGTCTAGAATGTCTCGTTTCAGACTGAGCCGTAGGAAACCGAGGTTGTTTACTTTGCCTTTCCCTCTCAGTTTACTATCAGCGTGAGCACGGACATGCGGCACCATCGAGTGAGACTGGTGTTCCAGGATTCTCCTATCCATGGTGGTCGGAAACTGCGCAGTGAACAGGGCGTGCAAGTCATCCTTGACCCAGTGCACAGTGTTCGGCTCTTTGACTGGTGGCACCCTCAGTATCCGTTCTCCCTGAGAGCCTAGTTACTACTTCCCATCCCTGGGGGCTGCCCTGAGCTAGGCCAGTCCATTAGGAAGCAGATTCCAGTTTGGCAGCTGGATTGTGTATCTGGTTAGTGATGCACATGCTCTTCAGGTTCCAGGGACTTCTGTTAGTGGAGGGAGACCGGCTGAATCAAGAGGAAAACCAACTATGATTTATAAACATATTTTCATGTAAAATTTGCATTTGAAAGGAGATACCTGGCCCTATTTTCTGCGTTAAAACCCCATTTGGTGCTATTGAGTTTGTTGTTCTTTATTCTTTTATCCCAGTGAAAATGGATGGTCTTGCTCTAGGGAAAAATTAATTCATGACTCTCCAAACAAGGAAGTTTCAGTATTCCCTTACGGATCGAGGAACTTGTGCTACTGTTGCTTCCAATTTAGCTGCCCCTCAAATCCAAGTGAATACTTTCTCTTCTCTCTGTACCCTTCTCCAGAAATAAAGTAGGTGACAGGGTTTTCAGAATCTTACAAGATTGACTTTTGTGTCTTTTTCTTTTTTTAATAATAATTTTTGGATATTTATGTGTAAATGTTCTTTTGGCTATTTTGAATTTTAGATATTTTTTTGCATGAGGTTGATAGTGGTGATGATAGTGACTTTGTGCCCTTGGTACTTTGCCAGGAACTTTACTTAGTATCTCTAATTCTTAAAACCCTGCAAGGTAGGTGATACTGTTCTATTTTATGGGTGAGGAAACAGAACCAGTGACTTACCCAAGGCCATACAGCCAGTAAATGGCAGAGCCAATAATTCTGAGCCAGGTCTGTGTGTGCTCCTTTTGCTGTACCACAATGAAAAAGATCAGTCTCGTTTTTCTTGTGACAGATGGTGGTAAAAGGGAGGAGGCAGCGTAGATTAAAAAAAGTAAAAGGGTAAGTAAAAATGTGATTATAATATACCTTATCCCTGTTCAGCCTAAGAGGTATATATAAGATTGATGAAGGAATCTTTTAAATAATGTGTTTCTTTTTAATTAAAATGTAAAATAAACCAAGAAAGGATACTGTCCTTACTGCAGGAACGATAGTAGTAGCATTTTCATTCACTTGTTAGAAGGGCATTTGTGAGGCTGAAGGTCATTTTAAAAAATGCGTCTCATGGAGGAACTAGCCTCCTGAACCATAAGCAATTAGTGACCGTCCTTTGCTCTGCACTGCACTGTGCTGCCTCTCCTACCATCCTGTGTGTCCACAGGAGCCTGGCCTCTTGTCCCTGCAGAAATGCTGACATCCTCTGTTTGGTCAGAGGACTTAACTGTAGTTGGTGTACTCTGAGAAGGTGGTCACGGGTGGAGTTTTTTTTTTTTTTTTGCTAAAAAGATAACCTTGCTGCTTGCCCCCCCCCCCCCCCCCGATTGACCACTGGGCTGGGCATTAAGATGGTATTCTTGTGGGGGTAGTTGTTAGCATGAGCCAAACTGCCAAATTAGTGTGTTGTTTTTTCCTTACCATTCTCTCCACCCCCAGGTATTTAAAGAATATTCTTAGGAAGCATCTGCTTAATACCGCTGCTAGTCACCAGCTACGACTAACCTTACCCCGCACTCAGGGCGGTACTTAAGCTGTTCACACAGAAAGTGAGTCTGGGTCAGTGAAAAACAGCATTTGAGCATTTAAATGCTGAAAAGAAACCAAAAAACCTAAGGGCATTAAGCACCTTGCAAGTCTCTACAATCAGAAGTTGCCTCTTTGAGGCAGGAGGAGAGAAGCACAGAGTACCTAGCTCCTGAACTAAAGATGCCGTGAAACCGGAGGGAGTTGTCCCAATGGACTGTATGTTCCCCATTTAGGAGTTACCTTTAAAAAGGATGTGAAATAAATTTGACAATAATTGTGTTCTGACTCAGCTTCTGGGTTTTTGTGTCAGATTCCATGGTAAGATGATAAATAAAATATTAGATACTGCCTCAGCTGTTCTCTTAGCATAATATTGAGAACGCCTGGTGAAGTGTCTTATCACTGATGGTTATCATGGCTTCAGTCTTCCCTCTGCATTGGCTGAGCTGCCTTTTCTAGACTGAGGATGATTCCCGTTTATTAGTAAAAGGATGTGAAATGTCTCAGGGATTTCCTTTTGGTGAGAACCACAGACCACCTGAAGAAGAGTTGGAACCTTCTGGACTACAGATTAAAAATTGCTTTATAATTTTCACTTCCTTAAGTATATATTGTGATTTTCCTCGAGGATCAGACAAGAAAAAAAAAACAAATTTAGCCTCAATTCTCACCTCTTAAATAAATCAGAGTTATTCAGACTTCTCTGCCTTATCCCAAAGATAAAAGGAAACCAAACCAAATGGTAAATATTTTGGGGGAAAGGAAAAAATATATATAAACGAAACCAAGGTTCGATGTGTCACTGATCTCAACTACAGCATTTGATATAAAACATGTTGTGTATACATCTATAAATACATATATATCTACACGTTGCATGCATATAAAAATTCTTCACACTTCCTAGCAGTGCTTACTGGATATTCTTACAGAATTTGAGTAGGCACTGTGGTGAATTTTCACAAACCAGATGCGAAGGAGGCATTAATAGCTACAGGGGACAGGGTAAAGAATAAGGAAAATGGAGAGGTTTAGCTAAAGTATGTCACCCAGGAATTTTGGCATTTGAGACTGCCTTCGCTCTATGTAATAGACAAACGCTTCATTTTATGGTAACTGTTAGAACAGCCAGGTTCCTGAAGGCAAGCGACACAATTCGCTGAAGTGCGTTCTACAGAAAAACATCAGGATTTCAAGTTTCTCCACTTAAAAAATGGGCGGGACCAAAGGGAAAGTAAAAGCGGACAAGACAGCAGCTATGAAAGATGGTTAACCACGGGCAACAATTACAAGGCCAGGGTCAAGGCCAACCTAGGGAACCAGTTAGATTAGGAACGGGTGATTTCTAAAGGAGGAACGGGATGTGTGCCGCAGCCTCTCTAGGAAGGAACAAGGTCCTGGGTCCCTATTCCTGCTGGCTAAGACGTTGCCTCGCCCCCATCTCATAAGGACGCCCAAGGCATCACCAACATGGCGCGCATCATTAAAGTAGCTCTCATCACGTGCCAGGGCCGGGAAGCGCCCGGGGCAGGAGGCGTGGCCTCGAGGGGCGGGGCCTTGGCCTATACGCGGAGGGAGGGGGCGGGGCCTTGGGGCTGAAGCGCTTCGGCCTCGCAGGCTGCAGATCGCCCGGTGCCCGCTCTGCTCTCTAGGACGTGTCCGGCTTCCCCAGTTGGGGGCGGCTCCCTGCTGCCTCCGTGCCTTGCCGCCCGGCCTTCGGTGATTACAGGCAGGTGAGCGTCCAGAGCCTGGGTTTGGGGGTAGGGTGCCTCTTTTTCCCACCTCCAGCCCTCTACCCCCACAGTTTGGGGAGGGATCCCTATCTAGAGAGCCTTGGGAAACAGCCCCGTTTGACTTCGATGTGTCATTTTCGGCAGCATCGATACTGCTTCCTTCGCCGTCCCTCACTGGCGTTTGCAGTGCCCTGTGCCCTTGGGTGTGAGAATGAGGGGCGATGTCCGATTTGCGGGGAGGGCGTGGAGTTTGCCCGCGGCTCCATCAGCCTCGGGGAAGGGGGACTGAGTTGGCGAGTCTCCCGATGGGAGCTGGGTGGACTGCGCCCCTATTTCCCCTCCAGGAGAATCAGAGAAAAGCGCCGCTCAGCTCCTGGCCCGGCTCCGCTCCTTTGGGCACGCTAGAGGCTAAGGTCTTCGCGCTTCCCGGGGGTTTTCATCATTACCTCGTTTCTCATAACACCCCCTGTTTACTATCGCTGGCTCTCCGTTACTCGAACTGCCAGTCTCGGGCGCTGCCAGAGATGCTCCATCTCCCCAGTGCCAGAGCAGTTGGGTGAAAGGAGTGGCCAGCCCGAGGCCTGGTGGGAGTGGGGGTGGGCGCAACAGGAAAAAGGGGCTGGCACAGAGATTCCTGAACGGCAAGGGTGGGAGTGGGGAGGTTACTTTCAGCCACGCAGTGAGGATGTTTTCCCGTCCGGATCCTGCCGGTTTTGATAGTGGGTGGGAAGAGAGAGGTTGGGTTGGAGGACTTGGAGATGTGGTGTGGGTGGTTTTCTTTGGAAGGGAGGAGGGATCCAGGACAAGGTGCCACTAGGTGCTGATGTCACCTTTGAGGAGAGGTGTGCTGGTAGTATCCATTAGAGGGGTAGGGGAGTTGGGGCTGCAGTTCTGCTGTTCTGTGTGGGGAGCAGGTGGTTAAGGAGGCCCTGCTTAGTTAGCATGGAGATCCTGGCCTGGTGTGAGCTTAAGGGGCCCCTCCAGGAGCCAGGTTGCAGGGACTTCCGTCAGTCCTTTCTAGAGTTGTTGGAACTGGCCCTTAGAACTTTGCTTAGCATCTAGCAAACTTTTATTGGACACCTACTATATGCCAGACAGTGCTCGGTGCTGGGTCTTCTGAAGGCAGTTTAGGGACATAGGGCAACTGAAAGGTACACATAGTAGGTACCCCTCCATGTAACATCCCCTGCAACACACGATTTTTTACATCACTATTAGATTGGAAAAAGAAAGACAGAGGCTGTCCACATGCTGTCAAACAGTTGTCTGAACTGGATTCCAGCTCACCCTTCACACCGCTATTAACTGGCCAGGTCGTCCCAGGGGAGGTGCTTTGGCAAAAAGGACAGTTCGAATGATTTTCCCTTGGTTATTTTCTAGGCCTTTGTCCTGAGGCCTGAGGAGGCTGGGATAAATGGTATCTCAAAGGAATGCGATGTTGAATAAACTCCATGGTTATTGGGGGCCAAGAATGCACTGGACACCTGGCCTAGAGGGAGATGCCATCTCTGAGAGATAGCAGAGTGTCGGGGAGAGGGCGCGGACGGGAAGTCTCATCCAGCGGTATCTAAGCGTATGCTGCTGAGCAGTCTCATGATGTCAGAGCGTGGAGTGTCTGCGTTCGGGCAGCCGGGTTGTGAGGAGGAGGGCTTGGAGGGGCAGGGCCAGGCAGGGCAGGCGGCTAGGCTCCTGGGCACCCCTCTAAGTTGACTGCTGAAATCTTAGACTTGGAAAGAGTTGTCACGGATTGTTTGTGGGTCCCTTGAGGAGAGTAGGGCTGGAGCTTGGGGAGAGGATGAGGAGTCAGGCTGTGGTGATGATGAGGCAGGGGCGAAAGTTCAGTGGGGCCAGGGAACTGGGTGCCGTGCTGAGGCGGCTTTAAGATATGAGGGAGCTAGCTGAGACCTTTGTATGCTAGGGATACTCTCCCCTGGGGCTTTAGGCCCTAATGTGTTGGGTCTGGTGGATGGGTTGCCATAGAAACAAGGTATGGTGACTGAGTGGCATGAGTATGTATGTGTGTGTTGTGTGCGTGTGCTCTGAGTACCAGAAAGGGGGAGTTGGTGAGGAGTGGCAGGCCCGAGGGAATGAAAGCTGCCTCAGAGTCTCCCAGGTATGGAACTGGGAGAATATGAGAGAAGGAGTGGGATCAGAGGAGGGAGGGGCATGTGTGTATTGCAGCCACATGAAGTCACCATCTGTCCCCCCCCCCCCGGCCTGCTAGCTCACTGACCTATAATTAGCTCTGGAGGGCATGTGGTACTGGCTCGCACAAGTGTGGCACTTTAGGTGGCCGGCGGAATAAAGAGTACTCACAGGCACCGTGGTACTGAGCATACTTGGAGAGGTGCTGCTTCTAGGGGACCCTCAGCACTTGCTGTCATGGGAGGGGCCTGAGGGAACTCAGAGTGTCCTTGTGCACAGAGCTGGCCGGGGGAATAGCCATGGAGGAAGACGCTATGATCTGCGATGGTCCAAAACTCCAGGTGGGCAGAGCCTGAGGAGCCCCTTCTCCTCACCTGGCCCCTCGCTCACCATCCACGCATGAAGCAGGATCCTGCCCAGCTGACTGCTCTGCTTTCTGAGAGGCTTGGCTCCTGCAGCCCCTGCACCTCTCTCAAGTGTCTTCTGCTCCCCCAGGTGAAGTCAGTTCTAGCACAGAGCAGCTTCTTGCCTTCAGAAGTCGGGCCGAAAGGCCTTGGCTGGGCCACTCCGTTCTGAGAGAGCTGGAGAAACTGTTGCCGGTCCATTCAGTTGGTCATACTCCAAGTGAGGCTCAGCACTGACCCCAGGCTGTGCCAGAGATTGAGTACCTGGTCACAGGCCTTTCGGTATCGCTCTCAGAGGATTTGGTGTGTATCTGTGTTTCCTCAAGTAGACGGTGAACTTCTTGAGGGTTGAGATCGTATCTTACAGTCTTTTGTATCTGTAAGGATTCCTAGCTCAGTATTGGATTCATGGAAATCACTCAGTAAGTGCTTGTTGGATTGAATTGAAGAGGTCTGTCTTTTGGTCCCCTGGGTTCAATGAAGCAGGGCCTCTTTGCGACTAGGGATATTTAACCTAGAGCAGGGAAGCCTC